TACGTAGTAGTTTTGGTGCCCTCGTAACATGTTACGAAGCTGTCAGAGGCGGTTGACACGTACTACGATTACCCGGCAGGATCCCTACTGGTTGACCTGACCTGACCTACATGCATGAAGACATCATGTGTGATCAAAACTAACATGATACTCGTGATCAGCACTCCGAAAAATCCCATAGCAGCCACACTTTGCGACGTTCCAACAGGTCCCGATTTTCCCGGCTATTGGGTCATTGACCTGACCTGGAAGGTAAACCAAGGACCTAGGCTCTTAAAATTGGGTATTATCGGCTTCCTCTCGTCATCGGCAGCACGTTCGTTTTTTTTTTCGCGAAGCTCAAGCCCGATCATGGGCCAAACGGCAAGGGGGGTCCAACGGAACCTCCCCCCTTATACGTTTGCGACTGGCAAAACACCAATACGGGCGAGGGTTAAGTTAAAGAGTGCCCATCAAAGCCAGACACGGTCGGTCCCACTACGCAACTGACTTCAAATGGCTGCGGCTGCTCCTACCAACCGCAGACCATCCCAGTCAGGAGTCTCATATGCATATTGAGCGCCGGAGGGACTGGCGTCCGAGCTCTTTGCACCGGGAGTCTAACGTTGTACCAAAGCAGCCACGGGACGGGTGTTTTTTTTTTCAGTTCAAATGTTTTTTATGACTTGAATCTTCACTAAGGTAACTATGAGCTAACCTGAATTTGATGACGAGTGTGGACTGAGTGTGGACTGAGTGTGGACTGAGTGTGGACTGGGTGTGGACTGGGTCAGCCGATTAGATTGCCATTGGTTGCGGTCTGGTGTGTGTGGAGTGTGCCGGCCTGGTGTGTGTGGAGTGTGCCGGCCTGGTGTGTGTGGAGTGTGCCGGCCTGGTGTGTGTGTGGAGTGTGCCGGCCTGGTGTGTGTGTAGAGTGTGCCGGCCTGGTGTGTGTGGATTGTGGAGTGTGCCGGCCTGGTGTGTGTAGAGTGTGCCGGCCTGGTGTGTGTGGATTGTGGAGTGTGCCGGCCTGGTGTGTGTGTGGTGTGTGCCGGCCTGGTGTGTGGAGTGTGCCGGCCTGGTGTGTGTGTGGTGTGTGCCGGCCTGGTGTGTTTAGAGTGTGCCGGCCTGGTGTGTGTGTGGTGTGTGCCGGCCTGGTGTGTGTGTGGTGTGTGCCGGCCTGGTGTGTGTAGAGTGTGCCGGCCTGGTGTGTGTGTGTGGTGTGTGCCGGCCTGGTGTGTGTGTGGTGTGTGCCGGCCTGGTGTGTGTGTGGTGTGTGCCGGCCTGGTGTGTGTGGAGTGTGCCGGCCTGGTGTGTGTGTGGTGTGTGCCGGCCTGGTGTGTGTGTGGTGTGTGCCGGCCTGGTGTGTGTGGAGTGTGCCGGCCTGGTGTGTGTGGAGTGTGCCGGCCTGGTGTGTGTGTGGTGTGTGCCGGCCTGGTGTGTGTGTGGTGTGTGCCGGCCTGGTGTGTGTGTGTGGTGTGTGCCGGCCTGGTGTGTGTGTGTGGTGTGTGCCGGCCTGGTGTGTGTGGATTGTGGAGTGTGCCGGCCTGGTGTGTGTGTGGTGTGTGCCGGCCTGGTGTGTTTAGAGTGTGCCGGCCTGGTGTGTGTGTGGAGTGTGCCGGCCTGGTGTGTGTGTGGTGTGTGCCGGCCTGGTGTGTGGAGTGTGCCGGCCTGGTGTGTGTGTGGTGTGTGCCGGCCTGGTGTGTTTAGAGTGTGCCGGCCTGGTGTGTGTGTGGTGTGTGCCGGCCTGGTGTGTGTGTGGTGTGTGCCGGCCTGGTGTGTGTAGAGTGTGCCGGCCTGGTGTGTGTGTGTGGTGTGTGCCGGCCTGGTGTGTGTGTGGTGTGTGCCGGCCTGGTGTGTGTGTGGTGTGTGCCGGCCTGGTGTGTGTGGAGTGTGCCGGCCTGGTGTGTGTGTGGTGTGTGCCGGCCTGGTGTGTGTGTGGTGTGTGCCGGCCTGGTGTGTGTGGAGTGTGCCGGCCTGGTGTGTGTGTGGTGTGTGCCGGCCTGGTGTGTGTGGATTGTGGAGTGTGCCGGCCTGGTGTGTGTGTGGTGTGTGCCGGCCTGGTGTGTGTGTGGTGTGTGCCGGCCTGGTGTGTGTGTGGTGTGTGCCGGCCTGGTGTGTGTGGATTGTGGAGTGTGCCGGCCTGGTGTGTGTGTGGTGTGTGCCGGCCTGGTGTGTGTGTGGTGTGTGCCGGCCTGGTGTGTGTGTGGTGTGTGCCGGCCTGGTGTGTGTGTGGTGTGTGCCGGCCTGGTGTGTTTAGAGTGTGCCGGCCTGGTGTGTGTGTGGTGTGTGCCGGCCTGGTGTGTGTGTGGTGTGTGCCGGCCTGGTGTGTGTAGAGTGTGCCGGCCTGGTGTGTGTGTGTGGTGTGTGCCGGCCTGGTGTGTGTGTGGTGTGTGCCGGCCTGGTGTGTGTGTGGTGTGTGCCGGCCTGGTGTGTGTGGAGTGTGCCGGCCTGGTGTGTGTGTGGTGTGTGCCGGCCTGGTGTGTGTGGATTGTGGAGTGTGCCGGCCTGGTGTGTGCGGATTGTGCCGGCCTGGTGTGTTTAGAGTGTGCCGGCCTGGTGTGTGTGTGGTGTGTGCCGGCCTGGTGTGTGTGTGGTGTGTGCCGGCCTGGTGTGTGTGGTGTGTGCCGGCCTGGTGTGGGCGGAATGTGCCGGCCTGGTGTGTGTGTGGTGTGTGCCGGCCTGGTGTGTGTGTGTGGTGTGTGCCGGCCTGGTGTGTGTAGAGTGTGCCGGCCTGGTGTGGGCGGAATGTGCCGGCCTGGTGTGTGTAGTGTGCCGGCCTGGTGTGGGCGGAATGTGCCGGCCTGGTGTGTGTAGAGTGTGCCGGCCTGGTGTGTGTGTGTAGAGTGTGCCGGCCTGGTGTGTGTGTGGTGTGTGCCGGCCTGGTGTGTGTAGAGTGTGCCGGCCTGGTGTGGGCGGAATGTGCCGGCCTGGTGTGTGTAGAGTGTGCCGGCCTGGTGTGTGTGTGTGGTGTGTGCCGGCCTGGTGTGTGTGTGGTGTGTGCCGGCCTGGTGTGTGTGGATTGTGGAGTGTGCCGGCCTGGTGTGTGTGTGGTGTGTGCCGGCCTGGTGTGTGTGTGGTGTGTGCCGGCCTGGTGTGTGTAGAGTGTGCCGGCCTGGTGTGTGTGGAGTGTGCCGGCCTGGTGTGTTTAGAGTGTGCCGGCCTGGTGTGTGTGTGGTGTGTGCCGGCCTGGTGTGTGTGTGGTGTGTGCCGGCCTGGTGTGTGTGGAGTGTGCCGGCCTGGTGTGTGCGGATTGTGCCGGCCTGGTGTGTTTAGAGTGTGCCGGCCTGGTGTGTGTGTGGTGTGTGCCGGCCTGGTGTGTGTGTGGTGTGTGCCGGCCTGGTGTGTGTGGAGTGTGCCGGCCTGGTGTGTGCGGATTGTGCCGGCCTGGTGTGTTTAGAGTGTGCCGGCCTGGTGTGTGTGTGGTGTGTGCCGGCCTGGTGTGTGTGTGGTGTGTGCCGGCCTGGTGTGGGCGGAGTGTGCCGGCCTGGTGTGTTTAGAGTGTGCCGGCCTGGTGTGTGTAGAGTGTGCCGGCCTGGTGTGGGCGGAGTGTGCCGGCCTGGTGTGTGCGGATTGTGCCGGCCTGGTGTGTTTAGAGTGTGCCGGCCTGGTGTGTGTGTGGTGTGTGCCGGCCTGGTGTGTGTGGAGTGTGCCGGCCTGGTGTGTGCGGATTGTGCCGGCCTGGTGTGTTTAGAGTGTGCCGGCCTGGTGTGTGTAGAGTGTGCCGGCCTGGTGTGGGCGGAGTGTGCCGGCCTGGTGTGTGCGGATTGTGCCGGCCTGGTGTGTTTAGAGTGTGCCGGCCTGGTGTGTGTGTGGTGTGTGCCGGCCTGGTGTGTGTGTGGTGTGTGCCGGCCTGGTGTGTGTAGAGTGTGCCGGCCTGGTGTGTGTGTGGTGTGTGCCGGCCTGGTGTGTGTGTGGTGTGTGCCGGCCTGGTGTGTGTAGAGTGTGCCGGCCTGGTGTGGGCGGAGTGTGCCGGCCTGGTGTGTTTAGAGTGTGCCGGCCTGGTGTGTGTGTGTGGTGTGTGCCGGCCTGGTGTGTGTGTGGTGTGTGCCGGCCTGGTGTGTGTGGAGTGTGCCGGCCTGGTGTGTGCGGATTGTGCCGGCCTGGTGTGTTTAGAGTGTGCCGGCCTGGTGTGTGTGTGGTGTGTGCCGGCCTGGTGTGTGTGGAGTGTGCCGGCCTGGTGTGTGCGGATTGTGCCGGCCTGGTGTGTTTAGAGTGTGCCGGCCTGGTGTGTGTGTGGTGTGTGCCGGCCTGGTGTGTGTGTGGTGTGTGCCGGCCTGGTGTGTGTAGAGTGTGCCGGCCTGGTGTGGGCGGAGTGTGCCGGCCTGGTGTGTGCGGATTGTGCCGGCCTGGTGTGTTTAGAGTGTGCCGGCCTGGTGTGTGTGTGGAGTGTGCCGGCCTGGTGTGGGCGGAGTGTGCCGGCCTGGTGTGTGTAGAGTGTGCCGGCCTGGTGTGTGTGTGGTGTGTGCCGGCCTGGTGTGTGTGTGGTGTGTGCCGGCCTGGTGTGTGTAGAGTGTGCCGGCCTGGTGTGGGCGGAGTGTGCCGGCCTGGTGTGTTTAGAGTGTGCCGGCCTGGTGTGTGTGTGTGGTGTGTGCCGGCCTGGTGTGTGTGTGGTGTGTGCCGGCCTGGTGTGTGTGGAGTGTGCCGGCCTGGTGTGTGCGGATTGTGCCGGCCTGGTGTGTTTAGAGTGTGCCGGCCTGGTGTGTGTGTGGTGTGTGCCGGCCTGGTGTGTGTGTGGTGTGTGCCGGCCTGGTGTGTGTGGAGTGTGCCGGCCTGGTGTGTGTGTGGTGTGTGCCGGCCTGGTGTGTGTGTGGTGTGTGCCGGCCTGGTGTGTGTGGATTGTGGAGTGTGCCGGCCTGGTGTGTGCGGATTGTGGCGGCCTGGTGCGTGTAGAGTGTGCCGGCCTGGTGTGTGTAGAGTGTGCCGGCCTGGTGTGTGTGGATTGTGGAGTGTGCCGGCCTGGTGCGTGCGTGCGTGCGTGCGTGCGTGCGTGTGTGTGTGTGTGTGTGTGTGCCACTCACTGGTGCCACCCGGAGCCGAGTAGGGCTGCGGCTGCGGCGCGCCGGCCGGGCCGTCGGTGAGCCGGTCGGCCGGCGGCTGCCGCTCAGCCACCGCTGGTGACGGCGTGCTCGGCGCAGACGCTTCCTGCCAACAGCGCGCCGACCGCTATCAGTGTGGGCACTATCCACCAATACTGCCAACAGTCTGCAGGAATTACACACTTTTATTGATGACACACATGCCATTCAGAGTTCCAAAAACTGCCCCTTCTCCAAACCGCGTTGGAGAAAATAATTGACACAATCTGCAAAGGTCAAGGTCAGTTCAGGTCATCAAAGCCGTACCGTAAACGGGGGCGACTTTGCCTAGCTGGGTGACTTTGCCACTTTTCTGGAAAATATTTTAAAGTGGCCTACCTACAGTGATATTTTGCAACGCTAGTCATTATTTTTGCTGCATAAATGAAAGACAATTATTGACTCTTTGAAAAACGAATGCATTTGCTCAGTAACAATAAAATTGTAAACAACTATGCTCCATTTAATTGAGCTATATAAAACGGCGGATTTATAGAGGTTCAAACTTTCTTGCATACAATCATGTTTGAAAACAGCTGTGGTTGGGATGTTTTAACTGCGTGATTATCACATGACTATGATGCTATTGTGATCAAAGGAAAATGCATTCATCGATTTCTTCTGTTTATAATTGGGGGTGGCAATGTCAGTAGGTGAAATGGAGGTCAGCTGGGGTGACTTTGCCACCTTGTTTTCCATGCAATTATGATAACCTCCTTCTCTTATGCGGCGTAGTTATGTTCGGCCGATGATCAGTCGGCGTCGGCCGGTGACGGTGAGCGCCGGCCAGCGCCGGGCGACCGTAGCCCGGGGCGCTGTGACGTCACATGCATGACCTGGCGCCCGGGGGGGGGGGGGGGCGGCGCCGGGCGACAGACTGTGGCTGTGGCTGAATGAGTGTGCGCACTGCGCGTGGAGCCACACACTACATTCTAGATAATTTCCTGTCCAGCTCCCTTTTGATCTAAAATCCAGTTGTCAACATGCCAAGAAGATATAACCGAAAGTTAGGAGCAAGGAGGTATAGAGACTATACTGAAGAAGAACTGCAGAGGGCAGTGGAAGAATGTAACACAGCATCTGTAAACAAAGTCGCAAAGAAGTATAGTATGCCCAGAAGGACACTTTCAAACAAGGTAAAACAGTTGCACATGAAGGAACCTGGAGGTCAACAAGTGTTCAGCGATGACCAGGAGCAGGTATTCACTCACCACATTCTGAAGTGTGCTGAGTTTGGGATGCCTCTTGAAAGGATTGACCTCCAAATGCTAGTGAAAACTTACCTGGAACGTCTTGGAAGAAAGGAGAAGCGCTTCAAAAACAACATCACTGGAGACATTTGGATCAAAAACTTCTTGAAGAGATACCCAGAGTTGAGCGAAAGGAGGTGCCAGAACATCAAGAAAGCTCGATCCCAAATTGGAAAGGAGGGCATCGAGGAGTACTTTCGGCACCTCAGCGAAACGCTGGAGGATGTCCCTGAAGATCACATTTTGAACTACGATGAAACGAACTTCAGTGATGACCCAGGAACAAAGAAAATGTTGTTTCGGAGGGGCTGCAAGTATCCGGAGAGAAATATGTATGCCACCAAAGGTAACATTTCTGTGATGCTCTCAGGAACTGCAAGTGGACAAGTGCTGCCCCCATATGTGGTGTACAGAGCAAAGCACCTGTGGACAACATGGACTGAGGGAGGACCATCAAAAGCTCGCTATGGAAGCAGCAAGAGTGGATGGTTTGATGGCCAAAACTTCGAAGACTGGTTCAACACCATCGTCCTCCCCTGGACCACCAGGCTTGAGGGAAAGAAGGTGATGATTGGCGACAATCTGAGCTCACGCCTGAATTCTGAGGTCGTCAGGAAGTGTGAGCAGAGTAACATAGCCTTTGTCATGCTCCCTCCCAATAGCACACACCTAACACAATCACTGGATGTCGGTGTGTTCGGACCACTGAAGAAGGTTTGGAGATCAGTGCTGAAGAAGTAGAAGCTGAGAAACTCATCCGGCAGCGGAGTGGAAAAGAGCACATTCCCTGGCCTTTTGAAATTGGCCATGGAGGCATCAGAAGCAAACATCTCCAAAAATCTGCAAGCTGGCTTCAAGGCTTGTGGCATCTTCCCACTGGATCCTGAGGCTGTCCTGAAAAGGATACCAGATTCGGCCGATCGCGAATAAGGTGCGAAATCAAACGTAAAACTCTCGCTCTAGAACAACTCGCTAATGGCGTAAGTGGAGCTCATAGGGTGGTGCCTACTACCCTTACCAGCTCGCCCTTACTGGTAACTGCCGCTTTCCTTGCGCTCACAATAGTGTGGTTATATGAACCAGTCTGTCGGCAGTCGGGTCACCCTTACCAATAAGGGTCACTTAGCCGCTAAGGGGAGCTATATGAACCGGGCCCTGAGCCCGAGCGGCGAATGACCGGTCTCGGTGTTGCGGCGCAGTGGGCAGAGCTTAGCTGTGGCGCAACAGCGGACTCGTCTACGTCATGCTAGCCTCTACCACGGCGCAAAGTTTTCCCATCAATTTTTAAATATTATCAGTCAACGACAAGTGCCTTTCATTTTGATATTTTGTTATGAGACCATATTGGTAAAAATTAAGAAGTCGTCTCAAACTCATTGTGTCAACTCATTGTGTCATTGTGTGAAGTTTGGTTGAAACCAAAGGTATAGGTAACGAAAAATAGCCTAAAAGGAATGTTGCAGAGGGTCTGAAATGCATGGTAGGTGTGGAGCCGTTGTTTTCCCATGCATGCACTGAGCGTAGTGGCTTACCGTGTTGGCCGTGTGCGCTGTGCCAGCGGCTGGCGTGTTGCGCCGCTGCTGTTCGGCGCCCAGACAGCAGCGCATGGCCGGCTGCGGACACGGCTTGTCCTCCAGCACCGTCTGACAGTGGATGAGCGCGGCCAGGGCGTGGTAGCAGCTGCCCGGGCAGCCGGGGCTCTCACCGGGCCGGCTCAGCCGCAGCACATCTGTTGGCACAAGGCGCGCCGGCCGGCGCCACAACCGTCAGCACGCCGCTCTCAGCTGTATGTGCGTATAGCCAGATCTTGAACAAGCGGGAGGACAGGAGGGTAGAGGGTGCCCAGAACAGCTGCTGACGCTGCGGCTCTTGATAGATTACGCACGGAAAACAAAACAGAGCTTGCATATCATGTTTTATGTCAAGGCCTATGACAAGGTAGATAGGAACTTACTTTTGAGGCTATTGGCTTCAAAAGGATGCGGGCAAAATTTTATTCGGGTCATTGCAAACAGTTTTAAAGATACAGTCAACGTCCTAGGAAGCGAATCATTTCATTCATACCGTGGGGTTAAGCAGGTTGCAGCTAACAGTTGCTCGTTGTTCGCCTTTAAAGCTAAAGGAGTTCGGCGTGGATGGCTATCTCGGGAATTTGCATTCTTTGCTTTTTATGGATGATACGGTTATCAATATTGCTATTTGTGGTGGGTGCGTCTGTTCTGTCTGTGGTCGAGGTCCCGACTTGGTGGTGCTTTGCGTGGACTACAGGCCAGACCGTTGCACCTAGCCCGGTGAAAATTTGCACAACTTATAGATCAAGGATGCGCGACGTGCCTTTGAGGGACCTGGGCTTGATCGGTTCGATAGGGAGCGCGTGGCGCGTGCCCAAAAAGTGCAAATTCGCGTCATAGACTTTACATGTATAAATCGGCGTGCGAAATCGGGCGAAAACAGCCAAATTTGCCCGACACGGGTCCCGTCCCGGTGCAATATCTTGGTGACCAGGGGTCCGACCGGCACGGGGAAAACAGCATCGTGTAGCTAATTGAACGGGCTATCGAATGGTGTGCGATACAGAGGATAGCACGCGCCACGTGCACCGGGGAGGACACTTTTATGTGGAAAATTGACGTTTTGGACGGATTTCGGAATTTATATTATTTTCAGGTGACCATCAGACGGAACGAGTTGAAACAACGCCTATTAGCAATAAAAATGTACCGCCTCTCATGGAAAAATTGTGAAAAGCTGATTGATCCAAATCAAGGTGGTACAGTCCACAGCAGAAGTAATGTGTGGTTTCAGTCATGGGTATGTTCTGCTTCTGCAGCCTAGGAACGATTAGCCAGACTACAACGAGACTTTAAATGTAGCTTAAATGTATCTTCACCCTTGCAGCTACAACTTTATCTATTGACGTCTTCTTTTTCAATCAGTCCGCATTTAAAAATCGTCGGTCAAAGCCATCCGTTGAGATTGGTAAAACCACACATTACTTTAGCGGTGGGCTGTACAAATCACGGAGAAAATGGTGTTTGTCAATTTTGTGCCACTTTGTTTATCAAAATGGTTTTGCTTCATGATCTGGTATCTGTGGCAATTAAAAATGGCACCGTTGGAAAGAGCATTCAATTTTGTCCAAGGTTTAGTCTTCATTTTTGCATGATGAGCAACAGTATTCTTAAAAATGTAAATGTTCCAAACCATTACATTGTTTTTTTTTTAATTTTGCTCCCGACAGGCCAAGGCCCTGGTCGGGGTAGGGGTTTACATTGTCATTTTTAGCGAAATTCATCGATGGCCCTCAAAAGACTTCACGTCAGTTTTCGAATCATTCTAAAGTAGAACGCATGATATTCCGACACGGGCACCTCGATGCGATGGATTTTTTCTTTCATTACAAGATGCTTGGCCGTCAAAAAGCAATCGAACGAAATGGATACCAACCAAATCGACACAGACCAACCCAATACCCACGGGTCAAAAATAACCCTTCTTCGCGTTGCGGAGCACGCGGGTAACTTTAGTATTAGCTACTTCAAGAGCGAGCATGGAATTGAAACTCAAGCTGCTGTATGATCTGCTGCAAAAGAGATGAATATGTCCATGCATCCAACGAAATCGCAGTTTATGACAGTTAATGTAAATGACAAAAGGCCTTTTGAGATAGAAAATGCTAGAATATGCTACACTGATAGTTATACCGGGTGGCCCAGAAAAAAAAACGTTCCCAACTTTAAATCAATATTTCTCAGAAAGTGATAAAGATACAACATTGAAACTTCGAATAGTCAATGCGGCACACATTTTCAGTAAATGGTGCGATTTTCATGGTGTTCGGTATATTACTTTTTAAACGGTTCGTGTTTCAAGCATGCCATGTAAAAATTACTTTTTTGTTCCGATGCCTACTAAAAAATGTGAGGGAACGGGTCACTTTCACCCCGCGGCACCGCGGCCTAGAGCCATGACTTCAACTGGCAGCTTGTCTCATTGATGGTTCGGGTATCAGGATGACACATTCCCTCAGGCAACCACGATGGTTCTGTGCCAGCGGCATCGGAAGAAGTTTCCAGTTTTCTGACCATCTTGTGGCTCAAATGCTTTCCTGGCTGAGGTTAGGTCAGGTTGGTCAGGTATGTTCAGGTCCCATTTTTTTATGGACACTTGGCAAATTAAAAACTAACAACCTAATCTAAGCTAACCCAACCAAACCTACACAACTACTTACTAAAGGAACTAAGCACCTACCTACATACTTGTGCCTACATCTCATATCGTGTCAAAGTAAAGTTCCTTGCTGGAAGATTACCCTCAGTACTTTTTATCCCAGCCCTGTGAAGAAAACTAATACCTCTAAGTTCGAGTCACTTCTGGCCATCCACAGAAAGAAACACTGAGAGCTTTGCCATTGTATATTGGACCAATAATCCCTATCACGAATAGTTCTATGAGCACATTACGTAGGGTGAATGAAACGTTTTGAGCCTTATATAGTTACAGGTGACGCAGATTAATGAAACTTTGTTCACATATTTTGCCACTATTTATATGGGTGGACACCAAATGGTGAGGTCCTAGCACTTTTTTCCTCACTTTTTAAGCGCCTTGAATAATGTTATTTTGGGTAAGTGCTCCCGGCGTCAATGACGTCATTATTTTTTGTGAAGTGTCATCCAGTCATTTTTCTTTAGGCTTAGAAGGAAATAGACACCCTAAGGATACCAATGCTGGTCAAAATATTTCATTTGGGATAGATTGGAAGGTTCAGTAATTGATTTTTTACATTGCAACCAGTGAAAAATACCCAGAAGCATTGTCCTGGTGAAACATGACTAATTTTGTCAGCATTGCCGTTCTGGGGCCGTATTCACGTCGATCATTTTCGTAAGAATTTTCTTAAGTTTGACCTACTTCTTAAGTAAATTTTTTTATTCACGTGAACTTCGTCGATAAAAACTTAAGAAGTGCCGACGTGAATACCAAATTATACTTACGAAAGAAAATCGACTTACGAAGTCGACGTGAATACGGCCCCTGATCTTCCTGATTTTCTAACAAAGGTGCATCAGTGGGTCATCCTAGTAATGTCCAATTACAGTAAGACCCTTTGAAAGGAAGTGCGATTGCAAGACATATCATTTATTTCCCCAATTACGGAACACTTTCCTCCTTAGGCCTGTTTCACTAACAAATAAAGTGTGTAATTACAAAGAAAAAACTTGAGTTTAAAAGAAATAATTACCAACATTTGAGATTTGGATTTCACGAAACCTCCGAGCATTAATTTCGAGTTTAAAATTTACCAACTTTTTTACAAGAAAAAAGTTTGAAAGAAACATCGAAATCGCAAACTTTCTGTTTCACGAAGACCAAAAACTTGAAAGAAAACGTTGTAATTACAAACACGAAATTCCAGTGGCTCTTACGTTCGGAATTTTATTAACTTTTGTGCAATGATGCAAAGCAATCAATTATTTAAAACAAATATGATATGCTGAATCATTATATGCTCTTTTTTACTTACCACAATCCCTACGAACCAGCTACGAGCAATAAATAAATATCGTCATGTTTTGTCATTCGTGCGCCATAATTGCATTCAACAGTCTTCTCCTGTCAAATGTTTTGGGTGTTATTTTCTTTCAATAATAAAATATTGTGAACTATCATTTATACCATTTAGAAACAGCATCATTATTTATAATTTATTCATGCATCTTTTGACATGAATACTAGACATAATTTGATAAGAAGAAGCAATATCTGTAACATGTTGTAGTTCTTGATTAAAAACATTTTTACTGTTTACAAGTTTATTTACCAACTCTTTTTATCGGAGGTGCCGCTGATGATGAAGTTTAGTGAAATCCGATTTTACATAGTTTGCAAAAATACTTATGAATTGTAAAGTTCAAACACTTGTAATCGCAAGTTTTTAGTGAAACAGGCCTCTGGTTGTAACTCTGACATTTAATTTTTCAGATTAGAGACGTGCTTTCACTGATGCCACTGCTCCTCCGATTCTGGATTGAAGTGAAACACCCACAGTTTATCAACGGTAGCAAAAAGTGACTTTAAATTCTCAGAATCTGCTTCAACTAGCGCCAGATGTCAGTACACATCTCTCGCCGTGCTCTGCGATAAAAAGCCAAGAGGCCCAATGAGCAGAGACCTTTATCATGTCATACCCTTTGGTAAGAATGTCGCCAGCTTGCTTCTGGGAGATGTCCATTCTTACCGCTATCTGATGAGGTCACAGTAGTGGATCCAACATCCTCACCCTTAGAGCAGGGTCAGTGTTTTAGGATATTGTCACATTCTACGGCGTTTTTGACATTTGTTCATCTTGAACACTGTTCCGGCCTTACTTGAAATTAGCAGCTGAAACCTTAACAGTGCCATATGATGGGCCACAACCAATAAGTTTAATTTCATATTTTTTTTAAAATTTCGGATGAAGGCATGCGTTTCAAATCGCGATACTTCGTAAAAGTTCGGTTCTCGATTTTCTCCCTTTTCACTGAACGCGGAATCTTCTTCACTTTAACGCGCTCTAGAAACGAAACAAAAAGGAATAGGACTTAAAACTTGGTGTACACACATAAGAATAGTGGCAAAATACATATATGACCAAGTTTTCATTAACCTGCGTCTCCTGTAACTGTGTTAGGCTCAAAACTTTTCATTCACCCCACGTATATGATCACATTGTTGCATGGATTGTCA